CTCTTGGGGAGAATGGAGTACTGTGTACTCTACGCAAGCTCGTCCTCCTCCTTCTCCTCCTCCTCATCTTCCCCGTCCGCAGAATCCTCAGGCATAGCTGGGATTACCCCCTCCTCAGAATCCACGGTCAGAGGTGGGGTAGTGGTGGCGCCCCCCCCCCCCCTACGAATTGCACGCAGCTCAGCGCAGAAGTGGCATGTTTGCGGCTCTGACCTGGACCTTCCGTTTGCTTCTTTCCTGAAATCCGTGTCTTCGATTTCCTGAGCCTCTGTCACTTACACACATGCCCTCAGAGTTCCATCCAGACTGTGGTAGGCTTGTCTGACCTCCTTAACTTTCATGCGGCACTGTAGTGAGTCCCTATTGTGGCCTCTCTCCATCATGCCCTTGGAGATTTTTTTAAAATGTTTTGGCAATGTCTTTTGGAACGTAGTTCTGCTAGCACGGAATCCTCTCCCCATATAGCGATCAGATCCATTACCTCCCGTACGGTCCATGCTGGTGCTCTTTTTCGATTCTCGGACTGCATGGTTACCTGTGCTGATGAGCTCTGCATGGTCACCTGTGCACTCTACGCTGGGCAAACAGGAAATGAAATTCAAAAGTTCGCGGGGCTTTTCCTGTCTACCTGGCCAGTGCATCCGACTTCAGATTGTTGTCCAGAGCAGACACAGTGGTGCACTGTGGGATAGCTCCCGGAGGCCAATACTGTCGAATTGCGGCCACACTAACCCTAATTCGAAATGACAATGTCAATTTTGGCGCTACTCCCCTCTTCGATTTTAAGAGCCCTTTATGTCGGACTAAATGGCGTCGTTGTGTGGACGGGTGCAGGGTTAATTCAATTTAACGCTGCTAAATTCGACCTAAATGCATAGTTTAGACCAGGCGTCTGACTGGAAAGAGAGCACAGCTGGTTCCTAGTGGCAAAGAAGAAAAGTAACTAGGATAATAATAGGGTAGACTGATAATAACAAGAATAATAAATCATTTTATGTTAACCAATATAAGTGAGCAAAAATTTCAGTTTGGAAAAACAAATACAAAATACCTTTCTTAAGAAATTCAGAGAAGGCCCTGATTAATAGGAAATACTTTATTTAAAATAAAAGTATACATTTTATATAGACTAATTAAGCGCCAAAGAGTCTCCAGACCCTGCAAGGCCTTGAAGAACTCTACAGCAGCTACCCTTTCATCATACAGCCTCTGTATTTTGCTATCACCATCAGCATTTCACCCAGCTGGCTAACAGCTGTAACTCTCTTAGCATCCCAGGGATATGTACTTCTGTACTTTGTTTAACATACCACTTGATAGATCATAAGGATTCACACAAACTGTAAAGCAATGGTTCTCAACCTTTTTCTTTCTGAGGCCCTTGCAACATGCTATAAAAACCTCCAAGGCCCACCTGTGTCACAACAACTGTTTTCCTGCATATAAAAACCAGGGCCACCATTAGGGGGTAGCAAGCAACGCAGTTGTCCGGGGTCCCATGCCACAGGGGCCCCCGTGAAAGCTACATTAAAATAAACTTATTGGCTGAACAAGAAGTAGGACTGAGTGGACTTGTAGGCTCTGAAGTTTTACATTGTTTTGTTTTTGAGAGCAGTTATGTAACTCAAAAAAAATCTACAGCTGTAAATTGCACTTTCACGAGAAAGAGATTGCACTACAGTACTTCTATGAAGTGAATTGAAAAATACTGTTTATTTTGTTTACCTTTTATAGTGCAAATATTTGTAATAAAAATAAGATATACTTTGATTTCAGTTACAACACAGAATACAATATATATGAAAATGCAGAAAAACATCCAAAATATTTAATAAATTTCAATTGGTATTCTATTGTTTAACAGTGCGATTAAAACTGCAGTTAATCGTGATTAATTTTTGGGGGCTAATCACGTGAGTTAACTGCGATTAATCGACAGCCCTTGAATTAAACTTGACATTTTGCAGCTTGTTTTTTTTAAATAAAGTTTTTTCTATACTCTGTCCAAAATATGCAACTTTTATTTACATTACATGAGTCACATGGAGTTAAAGATTTGCTGGATTGGATAATGCAGTTGTGCTAGTAGACCAACCAGGACTATGTTGTAGCTCACAGTTTGGGACCCCCTGCATTAGTTAATTGCATCCTTTTAAAGAAAATGTTTTTATTTAAGATATTAGTATTTGTAGAGATGAAATCAGTTAAATGAACCTCTATTAGAAAATGCTATTTATTTAGTTTGTTAATGTTAATACATCATCATATCAGGTTACAGTAGCTGAAAAATTAATTTGTTATACCCTCCCAGTATTGATTCTTACTTTCCCTTGCCTTTCCTCTGCTTCCCCTTTTAATTTGTTTTTCTAGTAGTGAATGTATCTGGGATCTGTGTGACACATGCATGGATAGATGTAGACTTTCTATAGCTACTTAAAATCAAATTGATACATTGTGTTTTCCATCAGCACTGGTAAGCAAGCCTTGACAGATGATGAAGAATACATCCTTCTTTTTGTTTTCTGATTCTGTATGTAAAACAAAATCCGATATCTAACAGGTCAGCAGTGCTTTTAAAGCACAGCTGCACGTTGAGTGGCAGAATTCCCTGTCAGGCAGGGGGAGGGCAGCAGGTGCATCTCTACAGGAGTGCAGCCTACGCTTCCCTGAGCACCTGCGCATGGCATCCCCCATCTTGTTCCTCTTGGGGTGACTTATGCCGCCAAAATACCTGGATCAACAAGTAAAGTGCTCCAAGGAGCAGTAGGGTTGCTACTCCACTGCTGTGCACAGGCACCTGGGGGTGCATATGCCCTTCTCAGCTCCTGTTGCACACCTGTGGACTAACTGATCCTAATTATTTAATTACATACAGAGGTGGATATGCTTTAGCAACTGAAAACCGAACATGTGTGTCTATATGGTGTTTTGGAAGTTATACTATAATTAAAATGTTAAAATGTTGCTGAAAGCTATATTAGAGGGTGTAGCAATGCCTCTGTTCCTTACTCTGCCAGTTAAAATCTCAAAAATCATAGATCCCAATAATACTCTCAGTTACAACTATGAAACTCCATCAAATTGAATGGAATTGGAGGAGTAACAACAACATTTGGCTCAAAGCATATAATTATGAAAGTAACGATGCCATTAGAAATTGGTGGACATTCAGTTCAAAATTCAGCTCACAAATTGTTCTGAACTGGGGAATTTACATATAGGATCTGACCAGTGGTCTTTCTAGTCCAGTGTCTTGGCGCTGACCGTGGCCAATACCAGATACTTCTTAAGAGGTTTCAAGAAACTCCAAAATGGACACTTATAGAGTAACTAGCACATACACATCTTTTTTTCTAAACCTTGTCAGTGTTTGGTTTATTCCCTGATGCGTGAAGGCTTATATCTAAAGACCCATGAAATTATTTTTATTTTAATAATAGTTTTTGTTCTATTTTGGGGTATTTCTTGTTAATTTGTTTATCCATTCCCCTCCCCCCAACCCGGGGGGTTGGGTCCTGTCCCCGTGGGAGGTGGGAGGCCCTGGTGGGGCAGCACAGAATGAGCATGTCCCACACTCACTCTGCAGAGGTGGCTCTGTCCCATGGGGCTGAGCCTGGCTTTCCACTCCATGTATTGCAACCTGGCACACTGGGTCACAATGCCACTGACTCAAATTTGGCCTGAGAGGTGCTGCGATCTCATGTGCCAAGTCTCAACTCTGGGAACGGGGAATTGGTCCCAGTCTTATGGGACAGGAACCACAAGAGCTAACACTGTGGGAGTGAGTATTTTTGTTTTATTTCATTTTCATTGTTTTTCATGTTTTGTGTTTCACAAATGGGGCTCTACATATATCCATTCTAGTGTTTGTCCTAGATAAAGTAACTGTTGATGTTCTTCTTATTGGTATAAAAACACACATAGTTAAGGTTGCACAAACATTCCTATTCTAAGAAGTAATTTTCAGGCTCTGTTTGGAGCTGGTCAGAACTAGAGCTGGGCAAAATGTTGTAAACAATGAGTTTATTCCCTGAAAAATACAGGTTTGAGTTGACCTGTTATAGATGTGTTTGGCACAAATTCACCAAGTAGTTTTGGATGAAAAAGAATTGCTGGGAGCTAAATTCATAAGGGGACTTAGGCACCATTCACAGAGGACGAGAAGGAGACTGTGATGCTGCTGTCAATGACAGCCTTATGCCCAATAGCCCATTTGTTAGAACATTCACCTGGGATGTGATGGATCCAAATTCAAGTTCCTGCTCCAATTTGATCTTTTAATTATGTATACAAAGTGGAACAGCTTCAACTTGTAACTTGAAATTTGATGGAGCATCCCCATGCCACAAAGGTGTATTTTAGTGGTCTGGTGAAAACTGAATGGGTATGTCAGAGTTATAATAGTGGTTTAAAACTATATTTGCATAGTCACACAATTTTGTAATGCAATCTCTTAACAGTCTTCTCTGTGCAAATGGATGTAGTTTAGAAAAGCTCATAAGCAGTGCTGTGCCTTTTTCAGTGATGTCTGAGGAAGGAGGCAAATATTCTAAGGTTGTGTAAAACTATTTCCTTCTATCAGTTTTATCAGTTTGTTGTGTTTTAGTTTCAGTGAATGTCCCCTTGTTCTTGTATTATGAGATTTATCTTCTCTGTTCTATTAATTATTTTGTATATCCTCACCCCTTATTTATATCCTTGTTGAACTAAACAGTTCCTGTCTTTTCAATCTTTCTTTATAAGGAAATATTTCCAAACAGCTAATCATTTTCATCACTCATCTCTGGGCCTCTTCAATGTCACCTGTATCTTTTTGGGGAGAATCCCTTGGAAATGAACATAGTTTTCCCAGTGGGGATAGGCCATAAGTCTATGTTATAATATTTTCCAATGTTGTTTTCTATCCCATTCTTTATACATCTTATTTTGTGCAAAACTAAGAAAGTATTTAAATATTTGTGCTGAATTCTTACAATTGTAAATATGCTTTTGCCTTACAGGGTACACCAGCAAGTCGTGTAAGATACAAAGTAGATGTCATCCAGTTCCCTTACAGTGCTAGCATTTTTGATGTAGAGGAAATTTCAGGACGTGTAGTAACCCGAGTAAATCTTAATGAAGAGCCCAGTACGATATTTAAGGTATGAATATCAGCAGGCATATGCATATATATTAATACAAATATGAAATATGACAAATGTTATTTCATTTATACCTTTGGTTTTATATTATGTATTATTTCAAATTTAACCAGTTTTCATTTGTGATTGAAGAAAATGTAGTTTGAATTAAAACCTTGTTTCCTCTTTTCTAAATATTATAGGGCTTACTGTTCTGGAGATAGTATTTTTGGTTTTGTTTCTTTAAATAAAACTATATCCATAATTAGTACAAAATTTATCCTCAGGGCCACAAATGGCCTACTAGCACTATATTTTCCTGTCATATAGGAGAGAGAGACTCCAAGCCCTCATTGTTTGCTTTCAGATTAGCAGAAACTATGAGAGCTGTGAATAATCTGTGCAGTTTCTGGGGGAAAAGATTAAGAATGATCTCTCTCAGGTCTGTTAATGAGCAGTGTTGCTAGATGCCGACAGACAGACAAAGCTTCATCCAATTAGGCACTATGATAGTGGTTGTGACATGGTAGTTTTGAATGAATGGGAGAATGGATCTTCAAGGCAAATAAGAACCACCTAAATTCTCCCCTACCATACACTCTATCCAACCCATTGACTTCAGTAGAGGCATATAGAGTGCAAGTCAGGGCAAGTTTGATTCCAGATGTGTCTGAGAATTCTCTTAAAGGGGCAGAGTTGGGGAAGAGAAGCCTTCTCTCTGAAACTTGTGTAAGAGGTCATACTGTGTATCTGTCTATGTATTTGTCTTGTATAAAGCCTATCAAAAAGCGTAATTAGAATGAAAAAGCTGTTTCTATTAATTGTCTGATGGTGGTAAGAAATTCAGCATAAAGTTTTGATGAAACTTTGATGGGATCTTCAGTTTATTAAAGACATACTCTAAAAAAAATTGATGGCAAAGAATAATTTGACTAAGAATTACGTTTTTTGTGGTATTGTTTTTATCATACCTGAAGACGGAGGCTCAAATATAGAACAATTAGTGTTTTTCATTTGATTTGTTGGGTTATAATAGCTCTTTCTTAATCACACTTTTTCCTAGCTGAAAATGACAAAATGTCAATGGGAGAAAAATGTATACATTCATCTTGTGATGATTGGAGTATTTTTGATGTCTAATTTCCTGATGTGGAAAATACCATCTATCAAAATATCCTTAAGTCATGTTTTTCCCTTCCTTTTGTTTATATATTTTTGAAACTAGGATAGAAGAGTTGTTTGTTTATTTTTAAATGTAATGAAATAAACCTGACCGGTCACTGTTTCAAATTTCTGACATGAATAATGTTGCATTCTGTGGATTAATCTGACAACATGAAAAGTTTCTCATTTGCTTTTGAGTCAATACATGGATAAAATTTTCCAGAGGGGGAATTATTTTGTGCTCACATTAGTATTAATATGACATAGGCTTTCTATCGCCCCTCTATGCTTCCCATAAATTCTTCATTAAGTAGCCAAATTCTGAAGTCCAGCTACACAACTATAGGACACATGGCTGCTACATTCCTACATATGTTGTCTCTGCACTGACCCTACTGATTCTGCGAAGAGATGGGCCTCATGCAGAAGAGGGATAGAAGGGCTGTGCTGGAGTGAGGTGCAGAGTAACTCAAGAGTGGTGAATTCTTGAAATAAAATTGACCTTACAGGCAGAGGTATTGGGGTGTAGGCTGTCCTGTCATTTTCTGTCTCAGTAGTCTGGTTGTTGTCCTCTTACTAGTTGACAGCTGTGCTTCAAACCTCTCATCTTTGAGTGAGAATAGATGATCCTATTTACCAGCAACCAGGTTTGTCTCAGCTACAGGATCTAGGATTGAATAGGGATGGACACCAAATAAGCAATAAAACATGGACAGAAACAAGAATAAGGAAAGTACCCTTACTATCTAAGGAGATCTTTCTAATTTATGATTCTAGCACAGTGGTGGTCTGGTGTGACAGGGCTCGCCCTGCTGCCTGTAGCGCATTACTTGTTCTTTGGATATAGGACTTCAATTTTGAATTCTGTTTCCTTTCAGCTGCACTGAATCCACAGATTGTTGAAAATTTGGAAATCTATATTTCTCAATCTGAAAAGCTTTTTTGAGGGAATTATTTAATGTTAAAAAGCACTATGGTACAGCAGGTTAAGTAATGTTCAGATTGCAGGAAGAGGGCAATCTGTAATCAGAGAAAACAGAAAATCCTTATTACAAAATAGCATTAAAATGTATATAGGTTCCCAAAGTCAGGCTGGCTTGCCAACATTTAATGTGCCATTTTGAATCATGAGACAGCCTTGCTCTTGGGGGATAACATCCATAAGTTGGGGAGCTGAAAAAATGGACAATATGTAATAGCCTATTATCAGGCACAGGGATGCAGAATCTCCAAAATGAGGATTTGCAAAATTGGGATTTACCTGTTATGGCAGAAGAGCAGAAATGGTTTCAACCTTATCTTTGGTTTGATGAAACACTATATTAAGGAAATCCACTGGATAGTTTAAAGAATGTACGTTGGGCTATCACTGTATTTTGGAGCCTGTATTTTGTATAAGAGAATATGTTGTTCAAGTTTGCAACATATTTTTGTTTAAAGATTTCCTGAACTTTGCATGATCAGTTAAGCCTATAGTTGGTTATTGTTGCCTTTTTTACCTGTATATTATGTCCCTATGTTATTTCATGATAGCATCTGTTTTGCATTTTTTAAAAATTGATATCCGATTTGTGAGCTCCTGAAAATGTAAAAATACCGTGGATAGAAATTGACATAAAATATTTCTATCCACATTAAATGAGTGACTTTTGTTTTGTTTATAGCTAGTGGTCATTGCATATGATGATGGTGATCCTGTGAAGTTCAATACCACCACTGTAGAAATTGCTGTATTGCAACCCTCTGTAATTCCACGGTTTACCCAGGATGAATACAGGTATAGTGTGTTTCATTTCCATCACTAGTACTTCTCCTGATACATTTGAAACATCTGCTCTTTGAACTCCTATTTTATGTATGCTAGTGATTATTACAGTGTGCTCCTAATGCCACTCTGCGATGCTTCCTGCACAGTCCTAAATTTATCACTGTAAATTATTACAAAAATGTACTAATTTGTAATGATACGAGAGGCTAACAATGTAGTTATTTCATTTTCAGTCTCATGTTATTGAATGTTATACCTCTTGACAATTGGTTGGACCCAGGCTTAGAAAGACTGACCATATTTACTGATTATGCTGGTGTAATGAAACTTTTATTACATCGGTGTGGCAGTTTAGACCAATTTTTTTCAAGTGACTAATTATTTGTAGCGCCTCAATTTTTGTGTGCAAAAGATGAGACACATTAAAGGGGACTGATTTTCAGAAAGTGTTGACTACCATGAGCAGAAGAAACTAATTTGGCTGGAGTTACACAAAGGGGAGAATACCACCTCTGCCTGAACATATCCACCTCTTTGTGAATGCACTGCCAAGAAGAGGGGGAAAATGTCACAGTGGGAGTCTGTGCCTAAGTCAGTGCTAGTAGAAGCATCATTAACTGTGGCATTGTTAACCTGCAACTCCTTGGGAAGGGGGAAAGAGTTGGGAGGGGTGTGCCTGCACATATACAAGCATAGGGTGACTGGGAGGGAAATAGGGTGGAGGAGCTGCACAGACAACATCACCGTACATAAGTTCTGGATATGGATCTCTTTATCTGTAGATCCTGGAGATGCATAAGTTTAGGAGGCTGTGCGGCATGCCTTCTTCGCAGACCTCCAAATCCTTCCCTCTAGGAGGAACAGTTTGAAGGAATTTTCTTGAGGTGAACTTCTCAGAGTTCCCTGGCTCCCTTTAATCCTCTCTCCTGTATAAATCTGCAGGAAGGTATAATTTAGCGTAGAATTTCCAAATTTCATTGTCTGCCTTCCTGGAGCAGATGGGCAAAGAATAAAAGGCATCCGACTGAAGAAGTATACTTCTGTTATTCTGTTGCTCAACACTGTGTTTTACTTTGTGGTGATCATTCTGGAGTACAGGATGCTGCCTTGTTTCACACTGCTATGCTTGTTGTTGAGGTAGGAGAAGCAGTCCTGCTCCTATCTATTCCCATGGCCATAGCAATCACAAAATGGAACTCTCTTACTAAAAATTGGTTGCATCATACTCTTATTAGTTCTGTATGTGGCACATACCTCTAAACACAAAGATTTCACCTTCTGCATTGATATGGGACTCAGCTGCTACTGCAGCACAGCGCCCCCAAGGTCTGTGGTCAGTGCTGAGGGAGGTTATGGAAACTGGGAAGGCCGCAGTGAAGAGTTGACTTGCCTGGGAGGGATGTAAGTCTCCCTCTTCTGTCCCATAACCATACCTGTGCTATACTACCTTTCCTGTATTGCCTCAAGCAGGGTTACTACAGACGTGAGGATTATGCCTCAACATGGCTCCTGTAGAGTCACACTGTGTGGGATCCATGTTGAGGGGAAAGATTCTCTGAATCAGAGTCACTGTGGAATTACAAGGGGGAATCCTTGTGAAGATTTAAAAACAAACTAACTTTCCCACAACTTTTAACCCAGGCAGGGATAATTTAGCCCCAAACTATGAAAAGTTTAAAATAAAACATAAAAATAAATAAATTAATGGAGATGTCCTATCTCCTAGAACTGGAAGGGACCTTGAAAGGTCATCGAGTCCAGCCCCCTGCCTTCACTAGCAGGACCAAGTACTGATTTTGCCCCAGATGCCTAATTGGCCCCCTCAAGGATTGAACTCACAACTCTGGGTTTAGCAGGCCAATGCTCAAACCACTGAGCTATCCCTCCCCCCAACAAGAATTTGAGCAAAAACAAACAAACAAAAAGGCAATGATATCTGGTGATAAATAACTGTGCTTCAGGCACCAAAAATTCATATTGACTGATGGAAGGACCAGCCAACTGTCACATCAACAGAGTTTGAGACCAGAGCATCTAAAATAATATGCAAATGTTTATCTTTTTCCAGTCTCATCTAGATAGGATAGCAAAACATGCTGCAACCTACTTCTCTAGATTAGCCAGGGTATTATTGGTCAGTACAATCTTGTCACAGCCTCCATTTTGACTTATAAAACGTCTCCACAGATCCTGGGTATTAGCAGGCAATATCCACTGGAAAAGTTCAAGGACTGAAAATGGCACAGTTGAAACCGTGATTATTTGGAAGGTTGTTCCCATTAAGAGCACAGTTCCCATGGTTTGCCTAGAATGAAGGATAGTTTGTGTGAAGCTTAGTCTTAACCCCTTTTTGAAAATGTTAATCAAAGGTGCAATTAAAGTCTCCAGGTATGCAAACTTTAGCTGTACTCTAATCTGGATAATTTTCATCCAGCCTGTATACACCGTTCACATTGCACTATTGAGTCCCGATCCTGACTGAGGCCTTTTGGGTGTTTCCATAATACAAATAATAATACAAATAATAATAATCAAAAGGGTGACAGGTAAGCAAACTTTATTTTACAATCTAATAATTTAATAAAGATCAAACCAATTTTCTTGAAAATTAGTAATCAACAAATACTTGTGACTTTGGACTGCTTAATTTGCAACATTTGATTATGGAACAAATATTTACAGCTAATTTATACCTTCTTGAAAATGAGGGATTCATATTTACAGAAAACTGCATTAGGAGCCCTATATTTGTAGAGATTTATAACCTAGCTGTAAATATTTACTCCAGAATGAAATGTAGTGAACTAATCAGTCTGAGGTCATCGATATTTTTTGTTTACTAATTTCAGGTTTTATTAAGTTGTTAGAGTATATAATGAAGTATGCTAGCCTGTGAGCCTTTAGATTTACTACTATTATTATTGTTTGTTTATATTATGGAAATGCCCAAAACATAGACATGAGCCAGGTTACAAGGTGGTGTAAATCAGTGTAGTAGTATTAACTTCAGTGCAGCTATACTGAAGTACACTAGCTTAGAAATTGTAAATAGATTAGGCAAATAACAATAATGAGCATTTTATTACCATAGCTGAAAATGGAATCAATATTTCTGAAGCCAATAGTTTTTTTGAAGCAAGGTAATAAGCTACAAAATAAATTTGCAAAAATCTAACAGAAGGGGATGATGAGGAAAGATTACATTTTGAGGATTTACATTTTAAAACAGCAATATGAAATTCAAAGGAATAGTATAAAAATTCAAATTGGTGGTTTAAGCAGAAAGTTTTCCTTTTAGAGATCTTATTTCTGCTGTCTTTAATATTTTTCATTTAAGAAAACATCTCACTAAATTTACAAAGTGTAGTCAGATGGACTATAAACTGTAATAGAAGCTAGATCGTTGTGTAAAATTAATACTGTTTTCCTTCTTTCATGTTAATTTCAAATGGATGGATATTTGTGCTGAATCTAAAAAACCTCTATAGTAGAGGTAGACATATTTTATTACTTACCTTTATGATGCAAAGAATAGGTTATAGCTCTTATAGTTGTGTAGAAAATCTTCTGATGAAGTACTGTCGTAGAACCGAAGAAGGGTATATAAAAGCAAGTGTATTAACTGCCTCATCAATGCCCACTGGCTCTGAAGCCTAATGATAATTATATTGTGAGCGTTGTTAACTATTTCACTGATTATCATTTTAATACAAACATTCAATGATTATGGAAAGATTATGGGATTGTGGGCAGACCTCGGTTAGTTTTCCATCACCTTTTTCCAGTCCTTGATTAATCCAGCATTCTGTTTGGTTTATAAATTTACATTTTAGGAGAGCTGTGCAAACCTTTGCCACTGAAACCCCAAACAGGTGAAACTCAATATAAAAATGAAACTAGAATTCTTAGGAGGCCAGCCTGAGATTTTCCTTTGTCTCAAAACCGGGTTGGTTTGAGGCTACTACTTCCCCTGAAATTTCCTCCTGTATGCTTCACGTGTCGGTTTAAATTTTTTCAGTAATCTGTTTATATTGCTCATAATTTCCATCGTCCTTCCTGACCATACAGGGGAAGGCATCCAGGACCTTGTCCATCAGTAAGGGAGACAGATACCGTTCCATGTCCCCAGCAGCCACCAAGTTCAATTCAACCAACTCATCTCAAAAGCACTCAAAATACATTGTCACCCCCACCTGTGGTTTTAGGTAAAAATTTAAGGTACATCTACGCTGCAACCTCTGGTAGCGGCATGTAGAGTATTTGTAGTTACACTCCTCAGTGAAAAGCAGGCTGCATCCACACTGCGGTGTGTAGCTACAGAAAGCAGCAAAAGAATCCAGAAATGGCAAGGCAGAGGGGAAAGGCTCCAGCAGCAGCGAGGCAGTGGACACTACACTGGTAAAAAGAGCAGTGTAGATGGGAGAACCATAGCTTGGCATGTAGAGAGCTGTGGAGGGCAGCAGTTCTCAACCTTTTTCTTTCTGAGGCCCCCCCGACATGCCATAAAAACTTCATGGCCTACCTGTGTCACAACAACGACTTTTCTGCATATAAAAGCCAGGGGTGGCGTTAGGGGGTAGCAAGCAGGACAATTGGCAGGAGCCCCACACCACAGGGGGAACTGTGAAGCTAAGTTACTCAGGCTTCTGCTTCAGTCCTGGGTGCCAGGGCTTAGGGCCCCCCCAGGCTTCATTCCCATGCGGTGGGCTTCGTCTTTCTGCCCTGGGTTCCAGCGAGTCTAATACTGGTCCTGCTTGGAGGACCCCCTGAAACCTGCTCGTGGCCCCTGAAGGGGCACCAGACCCCCTGGTTGAGAACCACTGGTGTAGGTTATATGCCTTAAGGGTTCGGGTGTGTCTTCACTCACTAAGCAGTACCTCACCATCTACCCTGCTATTTATACCCTGGCTAGGGGTGCATGCAGGTTATCTCCTCTACATGCCGCCATAAAGAGTGTTCAGTATAGATGTGCCTTTAGAATCTAGGCTGCTTGAGGAGCTAGGTATGGT